TCTTTCCCTTTTGAATTTTCCAAAGCAGTCATTTTAAAACTTTTCTATTCTTCTTAACTCTTCAATTCTACCCAGCCTTCTTAGAAACTTACTATTTACTGAGAAGACGGAGGGCATCTGTACTGAGAGTCTATTTCCCTCTATTATGCTGAAATTTTCTGTTGTTACTTCCCCCTAACTGCCCTGCTGTCTCAAACGAAGTATCTTTCCACCTTCTATATGTGATCTTCAGCTTGTCCTTCTGTCTCTTCAAGAACCTGATTCCTGTCCTTACACTTTCACTATCTCCTTTTGCTCTACACCTTATAACTTGGTTAAACAAACAAACAAAAACCTGCATGCCTAAGCTCTCTTTTCTTTCATGACCAGACTACTAGAAAGGGGAGTCTACACTCACAGCCCCCCACTTATACCTCTGTAATTCTTCTCCCCACCCTGACCTTCTTCTGAAATGCTCTCAAGTTCTCCAATCATATCTTATGCTTCTTGTCTGTGACCTTGGGTTCAGCACAATCAAAATTTAACATAATATGCCTCTCCCTTGTTCCCACCACTGCTGACCACTTTCCCACTTCTTCCAGTTGAGTCAGAACCTCCTGGCCATCACTGCCCCAATTTATTATCAAGTCTCCTTCCTTCCACCACAGTCATTATCTGCACCACTCGCTTCCTGCCTTTTCATTCTCATTTCAGAAAGCATCCTCCTCTCAACACAAATCAACACACTGCACCAGTCTCCTGGCCTCTTTTTGCCAAAATATCCTTCTTTGTTTAACAAAGAAATTTCAAATATTTTAGCCTGAGAATGAAGAGCCTCTAAGAACTAGTCCTTGCCTATAGTTCTAGGCTTTGTGGTTTTCTCTTCTATGTCATTTCATGTATTTCACATTTCCTCTGAACTCTGGAAGAATTCACAGTTTCCAGAACATGCCCTGCACCTTCTCACCTGCATGCCTGAATCAAGCCAGTCCATCTACTTATAATGTTCAACATTGTTTTGACTTACTGAAGTACTATTATAGTCTTCAAGATTTGGGAAAGATACCATCTTTTCCTTTCTCATGTAAGCTGCAAGTTATTATTCCTTCTCTGAACTTCCATAGTCCCAGTATGCCCATTTCTTTTTTACTCTTATCTCAAGTTCTTTCATATTATGTTCACTTACCTTATTGTCCCTATTAGATCTTAGGCTCTTGAAAATAGTGATGGTAAAGATAATAATAACAACCATAATAACAATCACCAGCTTAACAAGCTCCTTCCACAGTCCAGCTCTGTGCAAAGCACATAACTTCACTACCTCAGCAACCCTATGAGGACTGTCTCCAATTTCAGATGTGATTAAGTAATGTTCCCAAGGCCAATACCTAGGAAGTGGTGGAGCCAGAAATTGAACTTATGCTTGTTTGATTTCAAAAGCCATGTTCTTAACTTCTGTGTGGTATTTCTCACCATCCATAGACTCAACAGATAACCAGTGAATAAAACATGCTCTTTGTAAGTTCTAACAGGTGGGATAGTTTACAAAGCCAGATAATCCAGAGTTGCTGACCCTGCTTGGTCAATATATACATCTACAGGGAGAAGAAACAGATAGCTTAGACTCTAATTCTTAAAGCATGATTTCAAAAATAGAACAAAGTTTTGGTGTCTCATGACTAAACAACATAAAATGTAAAGTGAGAGAAAACTCTAATTCACCTGGATTAGATAATAGCCTAATTTTGTCTCTCTCCTTGGATCCATCAATGTTGATAATGCAATGAATCAAGACCACTCCAAAAGCCTTACTTAGATCATTTAAACCAATTCAGGCAGAGCCTCTAATAATACTAGTTTCTGAGACTCTGACATCAGCCCTGTGAAAACATGATAATTGTACTCTGCTGACTGAGTCAGAATCCATGTAAATTTGGGGTCCTATTTTACATACGAACAGGCAGATAACATATGAACACATAGGTATCAATACAAAGTGAGCAGTAGTTGTTGCTCTCTATATGTAAGCAGCTAAGGGCTGTAATCCTCCGAGAGGAATGTCATAATACAGCTCAAATCCCATTACAACAAATACCTTTACAACAGAGATGTCTGTATAACAAAAACCCTTTCAAGCTTTGGCTGACAGCCCACGTACTTCAGCAATATTTGATGTGAGACTTCGAGTTCACAGTAATGGGAATTGACCTGTACTTCCAAAGGTAAGATTTGAATGATTTCATCTGTAACTCCTATCCCATGATACCATGAGTTGGAGTGATGTATAATCTAAACCCACGAGTATAAAAACTAAACATAGAGACAGAAATGAAATCCTACCCTGCTCTTAAAGGGTGAAATTCCTTCCTTTCACTTTGGAAACACTTAGATAAAGAAGACCTCTAACCCAAGCCCTGAATGGAGCAGAGCAGGGCCAATTTTGTCTTATCTCACTGACAGGGAGACAGAAATGAAATCCTACCCTGCTCTTAAAGGGTGAAATTCCTTCCTTTCACTTTGGAAACACTTAGATAAAGAAGGCCTCTAACCCAAGCCCTGAATGGAGCAGAGCAGGGCCAATTTTGTCTTATCTCACTGACAGGCAAAATGATGTAGTACACAGAGACAGATGGACTGTGGTCAAGTCTCTATTCTGTCACATACTGGCTGAGTAAACTGGGCTATATTGCTTAATTTTTTCTGAGCCTCAGTTTCCTCATCTGTAAAATGTGACTAATATCTAATTTCAGGATTTTGGTAAGGACTAAATGAGAACATATGTAAAGCTCCTAACATAAGGCCCAATACATAGTAAGTGCTCAAAAAGTTAGTTCCTTCACTGGACTTCCCTTCCCCTTCAAGACCCTGGACTTCTGCAAGCTATTTTCATGAAATTAGCTATAAAACCTAACGGAAGTTAATAAAATATACAGTCTCAAATATAGTCTGGTAAAGATGTTGCTCAGAGGAACATCAGGGGAAAAGAGACTAACTAGGCCACACACAATTATTTACTTGACTGGGAAAAAGGTCTTTTTGACCAAGCTTAACACATGTGTATTCAAAAGCTAAAATGCAAGTAACAAGGCATTATAACAATAAATGAGCTCTGATTATTTTGTCAGAGATCATTGTGAAAAAAAGCCAATAAACCAGAATTTAGAGTCATATTTTCCTAGCCAAGGACAAACTGTTGTTATTGCACTAAAGCACAGTTTACTGCCTCTGGCTTCTTTTTCTGTAGGTGACATTCTAGAGGGTGGGAGACCCTTCCCCATTTGGTGATGCCTTAGCTCTAGTCCCAAACATTACCCCATCTTTCCTCAACAGCATACTGTTAAAGTTAATTATTAAGACAAACTCCCATCTTCTCCATTTGGGAAACATGTAGGTAAATAGTTTCAGAATATGTCCAATAAAGGTTCTCAAACTATTTGTGGGGTTTTTAATTCTACCAATTTTTAGACATCTAATTTTCTACTTTTCAAGGTATGGGAAAATCAAGTTTGTGGTGACAAAATTCTGTGTGCTTTTTAAAACAACCTCGGTGTTATATGATATGCTCTGAGATAGAAAACTAGAGTCTTAAGAACATATTCTGAAGGCATGTTGGTTTACCTTTATAAAATGATTATTGGCTAGGAGCTCTTAAATTCCTTAAAAGGCTCCCAAAAGTCCTACGAGATCTCAGCAACTACAGGGAACAAAGGTTGGCCCAACATTTCTCAGAGACACAGAATGTGAAAGTCTTAAAGATTTAGTCCTATCCTTTCACCTTGCCAGTAAGGAAAAGGCTCAGAGAAAAGTATGTACCACTGTTCTCATGCCCAACTAAAGTGTACGAGTATTTACAAGCCAAACAATGAGTTTTTAGGAACTCTTACGAGAAGCCACATGAAAATAAAATAAAATGCTGGACAGAAATACCAAGGCATGGAGAAAAAGAGACTGTGAAACACACAGAAAGACAGAGAAGCTCTGAGCAGAGAAATTGAGAGATCAGGAACAGAGAAAGAACAAAATTACCAAAGCAAGGTTAAAACAGTGAAAGAGACTAAGTGGTAGCAGTAGAGGAGATATTTCAAAATTCAGTCTGCACAGAGACCCCAGCACACAAAAATATCAACCCGGTACAATGGTTTCTGGCCTCTATTTTAATAACTGCACCCCCATCACCCCTATAACCATCATCTTAAAATGGAGGCAGAAACAACCACCAGATTGTGCTCTTTAATCCTACCATGGATAAGGGTTTACACCTCAAGCATTTTTGAAGGTGTGCTAACCACCTCGGGCCGCTAGGGCGCTACTCCCTGCTCCAGAAGGCACACTTGACTTAACGAGCCCCACCTAGCCGCTCTTTAATCCTACCATGGATAAGGGTTTACACCTCAAGCATTTTTGAAGGTGTGCTAACCACCTCGCGCCGCTAGGGCGCTACTCCCTGCTCCAGAAGGCACACTTGACTTAACGAGCCCCACCTAGCCCCCAAGAATGAATGTCCTTCCTAAAAGTGAGCCCTTTCTGCCTCCCCCCAGCGGCATGATACTAACTGTTCATAAGGCATTTCAAGGTCCCCACAAGCTATGAGAAAGTGAACTGCAATCGTAATCACACAGGCAACCAGAGGAAGACAGGGGTAGAAAGAGTTAGCTCGTGAAATGCAAGGCTGAGGAACACTATTCCTTCGATAAACAGCCACCCCGCCCAAGAAGAGCCTGCGCTGCCTAGAAAGTGACCTCACGGGAGCAATCACGCGCCTGGATGGAGGCGCTGGGGGCCTTCAGCCTCCTTCTCTCCCTCGGCCCCTCCTCTCTCTCCCTCCTGCATCCCACCTGTCCCAGCGGGTGGGGGCTTGGGGAGGAGCCCCAGGAGCACTGGGGCCACCAGCACCGGCCACTCCCAGCGTGCCCTCCCTTCTTCCCCCACAGGCTGCGGGCTCCAGGCGGCTCCCGCAGCCCAGCGATGCCCATCTGGACACCTGGATGACCCCCGCCGCGCGCACCCCGCGCTGTCTGTACCTTTACTCTGGGGAGGGTTCTGACTCCGGTCCCGGAGGACGTTGATCTGGTACACGGCTCCGTAAGGCTCAAAAAGTTCTTTCAGCTCCTTTTCTGACCAGGACCGGGGGATCTGTCCGACAAACATCTTAATGGCATCTGGGTCTGGTTGGTCTGAGTGATCCAAAGCTCCGTTCATCTTGTTGGCTGTGCCGTTACTGTCAAAAAGGGAACCGGGAGCCAGAGTTAGGGCTGCACAGCGAGGGACAGGAAGGAAAAACTAGTGGGGGTTGAAGGGGTGGGGAGGCGGAAGGAGGAGGAAGAGGAGCACGGGGAAAGTGCCTAATGAGTCGTAGAAATTTGATGAACTAAAACAAAGCAGAGGCACCATTAGGTTGCTCCTCGGCGGCAGCGGCGAGGCTTTCACTGCATGCTGCTGTTCTGCATCGCCGCCCGAGCACAGGGCAGCGCCCCGCCGGCTGTCACCCGGGGCGTGGACATCTCGGAACCCGGGCTTAGAAGGCAGCTGCAAGTTAAGTGCAGGGCTCGCTCCGCGAGGCAGCCATCAACGCATCGGCAGCATTATCAGCCCCACACTGGCTATCACCGGGAAAGAAAGGCAGGGCTGGATTTCTCTCCCCCTCCCTTCTCCCCGCCCTTTTTTTTTTTTTTTTGTGGGAGGTTTTTGGAAGAG